GTTCTTTCTGTGCTAGAAGCAGATACAAAGGTTGCAAGGTAGCTGATTGTGAGCATAGGAAGGAGGACCCAGAGAAAAAAAATCACTTTGCCAAATATAACTGGTTTATATGAGGTTCCATTCCAGGCAAGTGTTGTGGATAAGGCTCCCAAAAAGAGAAGTCATCTTTTTGTTGGTGATTCAATTGTAAGAGGAGTTTCTTTAGGAAATCATGTGGAATTGTCAAAGGAAGTTAGATGTTTACCTGGTGCTACTGTTAGGAGAGATAAAAGGCATATTTTAAAAATTATCAAAAAAGCTAGTGAAGAGTGCAATGTTGATGTTGGTGTGCACCTTGGTACAAATGATTTGTCACAGATTGATGTGTGTTCTGTACAGAAGGATTTTCAGTATTTGGGACAGGATATTCAACAGTTAGCATGTACAGGAGTTTTTTGGACATGCATTTAAACTGAGAAATGGGGGCAGAGATATAATTGTTGAGGAGCATTTCTGTCCCTAGCAGGCTGAAACAAATGTGAGGGCTTGTGTTGCTAAGGACTGGGCTGATGGGGTGGTCACTTCAGTTAAAGTTTCTGGTGGTAAAAATAAAGCAGTAGATAGCAGCAGGGGCGGACTGACAACTCATGGGGCCCCCGGGCAATAGGGGATCATGGGGCCCCTGTGTCCTTGCCTACACTCAAAGCACACCCAAACAAAGCCTATAAAAGGTACCAGGGGCATTTCATGGGGCCCCCTACTGACCCTGGGCCCTCGGGCAGTGCCCGAGTGCTCGAATGGTCAGTCAGCCACTGGATAGCAGTGTTTTTCATGTCATGTGCACTAATGCTCATAGTTTAGGCAAGAAGCTTTGTGAGCTGACAGCTCTTATGTCTAGGGACAACTTGGACCTTGTTGCAATTACAGAGACATGGTTCAAAGATTCAAATGATTGGGAAATCACTATACCAGGGTATACACTATACAGGAAAGACAGAGTATGCAAGAGGGGAGGTGGAGTTGCCATATATGTAAAAAAAAAAACATAAGGCTAACATTAATTCAAAAAACAAATGAGATACTCAAAAAACCCTCTGGGTCTGCCTTCCAACCAGAGAGGGATCTTCCCTTAGAATTGGTGTAAATTGGTGTACCCCAAGGACAGACTGAAGATTATGATAACTTGCTGTTTAACAAGATAACTCAAATGACAATGAAAGGGGAGGTTTTGTTTATGGGTGACTTTAACATGCCTGACATTAACTGGAATTCTCAAACTGCTATTACAAGCAGGAGCAGGGATGTAATGGAAGCACTCAATGGGCTTTCTCTAAAACAGTTAGTAAAAAGTCCAACCCAAGGCGATCATATTCTAGACCTAGTACTGACAAATGGGGATCAACTGTCTAATGTTGAGGTGGAAGAAAATTTGGGTTCTAGTGATCACCAATGTCTTTGGTTTGATATTAAAAAGGGAACTGAAAAATCATATACAAAAACAAAAGTTTTAGATTTCAAAAAGACGAATTTTGCTGAAATGGGTGAATTTCAAAAAAATTAGTTGAAAGGTTGGAGTAAATGACAGGAGAATGTAATCAGTGGGCATAGTTAGACTCTACCATCCTGGAGGCAACTAGATTATATGTCAGGTGAGTTAGTAAGAATAAACGGGAGAAAAAACCTATATAGTTCACTAAAGAGATAAGTAGGATAGTAAAGGAAAAAAAAATCAGGAAATTCAAGGAAACAGGAGGTGTAGCTGACAGAGGAGAGTATAAGAATAGACAAAAGGTGGCCAAACACATTATCAGTGCTGCCTAAGCACAGAAAGAGGAGGGAATCGCTAAATCTATTAAGAAAGGAGATAAAACCTTTTTTAGTTACATTAGTGATAAAAAGAAAAATACGATGTGATCACTAAAATGAAAACTGGGCACAACACTTTAGGGAGGCCTAGATGTTGCAAACCACTTGAATAATTACTTTTGTTCAGTCTTCTCAGAAATAAATTATACTAACAATAATAAGTTGGGAAATCATATTGGTTCTAGTAATGATGGTTCATTTTTAAGATTTCCGGAGACAGAGGTAGCAGAGAAACTGTCTCAGTTAAAGATTAATACTGCAATGGGCCCTGATGGTATTCATCCCAGAGTTCTAAGAGAACTTTGAGGTATAGTTGTTGGACCGTTAAATGATCTTTTTAATCAATTTTTTCTAACAGGAGACGTTCCCCACAACTGGCGGACAGCTAATATTGTACCTATCCACAAGAAGGGAAGCAAGGTAGAAACTGGCAATTACAGGCCAGTGAGTTTAACATTGGTTGTATTCAAGTTAATAGAATCACTCCTAAAAATGAGGGTAGTTGATCAATTAAAAACACACAACTTGCTGGATCCAAAGCAGCATGGCTTTTTTGAGGGCCGATCATGTCAGACTAATCTGATTGGATTGTTTTACTATATTACCAATGTTTTGTACCAGGGTGGTGCTATGGACATAGCTTCATTTAAGCAAGGCATTTGATACAGTTCCACATAATGATTTCATACAAAAGTTGTACAAGCTAGGACTTAGCCCTTAGGTGGTTTAGTGGATATGCAGCTGACTAAAGGATAGATAGCAGAGTGTGGTTGTAAATGGGGTTCACTCGGAACAGAGACCAGTCACTAGTGGTGTACCACAAGTCTCTGTACTAGGTCCTGTTCCATTTAATCTATATGTAAGTGATTTAACTAAAGGTTTGTTGGGTAAGGTAAGTCTTTTTACTGATTACACAAAGGTGTGTAATAGGGTTGATATCCCTGGAGGTGTTGGTAACATGGAACATGATTTGGCAATACTGGAAGATTTGTCAAAAAAGTGAAAATTGCAGTTCAATGTTTCTAAATGTAAAATAATACACCTAGGGAAAAATAATTCATTGAGAGAGTACAACATTGGGGGTACAGTGTTGGCCAGCACTACAGAGGAAAATGGCTTGGGGGTACTTGTTACAGATGATTGCAAAATGATAAAACAGTGTGGCCAGGCAATGGGGAAAGTGAATAGAATTCTAGGATGCATCACTAGAGAGGTCACCAGCAGGAGGAAGGAGGTTTTGATTCCCCTATATAGAGCTTTGGTTAGACCTCATTTAGGTCTGGGGGATGAAACATGTGACTTCAGGAACCTAACATGTACAGTCTGGCGGAAGAAGGGAAAGGGGAGACATAATTGAAACCTTTAAATAAATCAAGGGGGTGAATAAGGTTTAGAAGGGCAGTATTTTCAATACGAAACCAAAATCAAGAACACGGGGACAGGACCTTAAACTAACTGTAGGAGAGATCAAAACTAATCTCAGAAAGTACTATTTTACTAAAATTAGTTGATGCTTAGAATAAGCTTCCAGCAGAGATAGTGAACCAGTCAACAGTAAACAGCTTTAACCATTTGCCCTCCAGAGGATTTACCCCCCTTCTTGACCAGGCCATTTTTTGTGATACGGCGCTGCGTTTTTTTAACTGATAATTGTGCGGTCGTGCAATGCTGCACCCAAATGAAATTTATGTCCTTTTTTCACACAAATAGAGCTTTCTTTTGGTGGTATTTGATCACCTCTGCAGGTTTTTTTTTGCGCTATAAACAAAACAAAGACCGCCAATTTTGAACAAAAAACAATACTTGTGACTTTTTGCTATAAAACATGTCCAGTAAAAATTTTTTAGAAATAAAATTTTATCATAAATTTAGGCCAAAATGCATTCTGGTACATGTCTTTGCTAAAACAAAATCTAAATACGTGTAAATTAATTGGTTTATGTGAAAGTTATAGTGTTTACAAATGGCGGTATAGATAGTGGGATTTTTTTTTTTTTTACATGTAATGGCAGCGATCAGCGACTTATAGCGGGATTGCGGGACTGCAGTGGGCATTCTGATACTGGGGGGAACTGACTTGATGTCACTGACATCCCCAGTGACACCAATACAGTGATCAGTGCTAATAAAAAGCACTGACACTGTACTAATGGCACTGGGCAGGAAGGGGTTAACATGTGGGGCGATCAAAGGGTTAACTGTGTGCTGTGTGCTGTTTTACTGTGTGCTGTGTGTGTGGTTTACACTGTAAGCACACTGCTTTATATGGCTCTGCTATGAACAGCCATATAATGTACAGCGCTGAGTAAACTTTTTGGAGCTATATAAATACTGTATAATAATAATAATACAAGGCAGTGTGCAGGAGCTGACAGGGGAAAGATCTATGGACCACTCGATGGACAGCTCAGTTTTTTTCTGCCGTCATTTTCTATGTTTTTATGAGTACTGCAGCTTTAGTAGGATGGTCCTTTGTCCTTGGGCCTTGAATCCCTTGAGCTGTTCATATGACCTGCCCCACTGCTTCTGTAAGTAACAATCCAGTCTTTTAAAGTGACACACAGTCTTTCACGTAGGAATAAAAAACCCTGTTGCAGTAAACCTAAGAGTGTTGATAAGGACTTGTAATTTGATTTCAGGCTCTGTACAGATTTGGGGCAAAAAAGCAATGAGCTAATATCAGCAGAAGAGAGATGCTGATCAATGAGCTTCTGGGCAATGAACATTGCTAAAATGTTACAAGGAAGACAACTTATCATTTTTTATTAGATGGTGACATCATCTTTCCCACTTTTCTGCCTCAGCCAATTATAGGAAGCTTTGCATTCATTCTCAGAATACAAAACTTCCTGCGAATGGCTGTGCAGGACCACGATTTTGTTCTTGGAGTGGGTCAGGAAGTTCCTGTCCTGCTTCCAAACACAGTGTTGTATACTGAATGTTTGGGTGCAAAGTGAAACTGAGCTAACAGGTACAATAAACAAAAAGCTGCTAACACACCATTAGATGTCAATGGCTATAATTAGAGATGAGCGAAGTATTCAAAAATTCGATTCGGCTGATTCGGCGAATTCGAGGAATAAATTCGATTCGAGGCGAATATATTCGCTGCGAATTTAACTTATAAAAGGGTGTTTCTAGGCTTCAGAGAGCCTTTATATTAGTGCAGAACACTGTACCTTTAATTTAAATGCCCTTGGAGTCTGCTGGGGAAGAGAAATAATACTGTCAGTCAGTATGACATGCAGATGAGTGCCGTCGATCTTAGAATCACCGCACACTTCACTCATTTGGGCAGTCACGGGGCCAAAACCAGAGTGTGGAGCCACAGTGTGGTGGTGGAGGCAGCAGCAATGGGAGGCCATACAGCACCCTATGACAAAAATGGAACCCACCAGCAGTGTGAGGAGACCTGAAAGTGGCACATGGCAGAGTGTGGCGATGGAGACAGCAGCAATGAAAGGCCGTACAGGGACCCATGACACACTCTGGACCTGGCAGCAGCATGAGGAGGCGGTACAGGGGCCCATGACAGATTACGGGCCTGGCAGCAGCATGAGGAGTCGGTACGGGGGCCCATGGCAGATTACGGGCCTGGCAGCAGCAATGGGAGGCCATACAGCACCCTATGACAAAATGGAACCCACCAGCAGTGTGAGGAGACCTGAAAGTGGCACATGGTAGAGTGTGGCGATGGAGACAGCAGCAATGGGAGGCCGTACAGGGACCCATGAGACACTCTGGACCTGGCAGCAGCATGAGGAGGCGGTACGGGGGCCCATGGCAGATTACGGGCCTGGCAGCAGCAATGGGAGGCCCGTAATCTGCCAGCACCCTATGACAAAATGGAACACACCAGCAGTGTGAGGAGACCTGAAAGTGGCACATGGCAGAGTGTGGCGATGGAGACAGCAGCAATGGGAGGCCGTACAGGGACCCATGAGACACTGTGGACCTGGCAGCAGCATGAGGAGGCGGTACGGGGGCCCATGGCAGATTACGGGCCTGGCAGCAGCAATGGGAGGCCCGTAATCTGCCAGCACCCTATGACAAAATGGAACACACCAGCAGTGTGAGGAGACCTGAAAGTGGCACATGGCAGAGTGTGGCGATGGAGACAGCAGCAATGGGAGGCCGTACAGGGACCCATGAGAGACTCTGGACCTGGCAGCAGCATGAGGAGGTGGTACGGGGGCCCATGGCAGATTACGGGCCTGGCAGCAGCAATGGGAGGCCCGTAATCTGCCAGCACCCTATGACAAAATGGAACCCACCAGCAGTGTGAGGAGACCTGAAAGTGGCACATGTTTGGGGCATGATTCATGGCGGATTTAGTCAGTTGTGTCAGGAACTGGTGGTTTCAAATCCAGACTAATCCACGCCTGATTCATTTTCACAAACGTGAGTCTCTCCACACTTTGGGTGGACAGTCGTGTCCTCCGCGGAGTTACAATACCTCCTGCCGCACTAAACACGCGCTCCGATGCCACGCTACTGGCCGGGCATGACAGCCTTTCAAGGGCAAATTCAGCTAGTTGGGGCCAAAGGTCAAGTTTCGTTGCCCAGTAGTCAAGGGGATTGTCTACCTTGGTTGGCAGGGTGCTGTCCAAGTAGGCCCAAGCCTGTTGTTTGAGGTCCTGCTCCAGGTCCACCTGATGCTGCTGCTGCTGCGGCTGGTTAGTAGTTTCCTCACTGCGCTGGTGAAGAAAGCTACTCATCATCGACTGCAGACTGAGGCAGCCGCTGCTGGTGGAGCTGCCACTGCTCCTACCACCACCCCACCCCTCCCCTGCTGCCATGGCAGCGGAACGCGAGCGCACAGGGCCCACAGTGTCTGAGGATGGACGTTGGCGCAGAAAGGCAGAGACCAACTGACTACATAGGTGGTTTTTATAGTACGTTATTTTGGCCTCCCCTCAGCAGGTGTGAAAAAGTCCACCATTTTTGAACGGTAGCGAGGGTCCAGCAAGGTGGACAGCCAAAAGTCATCCCTCTGTCTGATGGTTATTATTCGGCTGTCGCTACGCAAGCAACCGAGCATGCTATGGGCCATTTGTGCCAAGGAATGCGAGGGACTCCCTGCCTCCATCTCCACAGCATACTGCCACGGTGCGTCTGGGTCCTCTGTCTCCTCCTCCTCCTCGTCTACCAGATGCTCCTGCTCCTCCACTCCTGTCCGCCGAGTGGAAAAACCACCCATTTCACTCAATAATTCCTGAGCACCAATGTCCTCCTCTACCTCCTCCTCTTCTTCCTGTCCTGCCCCCACAGGGGTCATGTGGCGTTGAGATCTGTGCACCACGTCTACCGCACCCTGACCAGCCATTGTTAACAGCATTTGTTCCAGGACGTGCAACAGAGGAATGACGTCGTTCATCCCATAGTCCTGCCGACTCACGAATAGCGCGGCCTCCTCAAAGGGCCTGAGCAAGCGGCAGGTGTCACGCATGAGCTGCCAATGGCTGACATCGAAGTTACACAGGGGAGTACCTTTATCCGCTTGTAACATCAGGAAATCGGTGATGGCCTTTTGCTGTTCGTAAAGGCGGTCTAACATGTGTAGGGTTGAATTCCACCTTGTTGCAACGTCGCAGATCGGGCGATGCTGTGGAATTCTGTTCTGCCGCTGCAGCTCAAGGAGGGTGTGCTTTGCGGTGTAGGAATGGCTAAAATGCATGCAAAGTTTACGTGACATTTTAAGGAGGTCTTGCAGTGGGATGGTGGATTTTAGGAACCGCTTGACAACCAGATTGAACACGTGAGCCATGCATGGCGCATGGCACAACCTTCCTTGACGCAGAGCAGACACCATGTTCTTTCCGTTGTCGGTCAACATGGTTCCGATTTTCAGTTTGCGCGGAGACAGCCATCTGTCGATTTCTCTGTTCATTACACTCAGAAGTTCCTCCCCTGTGTGACTACGTTCGCCAAGGCATACCAGGTGCAGCACAGCGTGACACCGTTGCGCCCTGCACATGTGATATGCCGGTCGGGTAATGGGACTTGGCACGGGGGTGGCGGCTGAGGACACGGCGGAAGAAGAGGTGGTAGAGGCGGACATCTTTGCCGGACCAAGGACGTGCAAACGTGGAGGCAAAAGCGGCGTGACCTGTCCAAGTTGCTGGTGCGGCTGTGCCGGCACCACGTTCACCCAGTGGGCCGTAAATGACATGTACTGTCCCTGACCGTAGTTACAGCTCCACACGTCGGCGCTGCCGTGCACTTTGGCAGAGACCGACATGCTCAAAGACTGGCCCACCATCTCTTCTACATGTGAATGCAGGGCTGGCACTGCCTTTTTGGCGAAGAAATGACGGCTTGGCACTCTCCACCGCGGCTCGGCACAAGCCATCATTTCTCGGAAAGGTGCTGAGTCCACCACTTGGAAAGGGAGGGACTGCAGCACCAGCAACTTGGACAGGAGGACGTTCAGCTTTTGCACCGTCGGGTGCGTGCTCGCAAACTGTTGTCTCTTGGAAACGGATTCCAAGAAAGACTGCTGACGGAATCCGTGAAGAGGAGTAGCAGGAGAAGGAGCATCTGAACGAGTGAAAGATGCCAACGAGCGACAACTCCCCTCAGCAGAGGTGTTGGAGCCTTGACTGGCTGATAGAGGGCGATTGACGTCGGGTGACGGAGCAAGTAACGGAGCGGGTGATGGAGCGGGGGCTGGGGCAGGCAGAACCGCCGTATCTTTATCACGGTTTTCCCAGGCCACCAAATGGCGACGCTGCATATGCTGACGCAACGCTGTAGTCCCAACATGGGCCCCCTGGCCACGCTTGACTTTCTGGCCACATAGTCGACATACGGCTACGTTTACTTCCTCGGGCGGCTTGACGAAAAATTGCCACACCGCCGAGTAGGAAACTTTGCCCCCGCTACTCCTCACTGGCTGACTGCTACTTCCTCCATGCACACCGGCACCACTACTGGCCGTGGTGGTAGGCTGCAGTGGAGCTGGTGCTCTACTCCGTGGCCGTTTGCCTCCACTGACACTGCTGCGACCCTGCTGCCTCCTGGGCAACTCACCGACTGTTTTTGCTCGCTGCCAAGCTGGCACCCTCTTCTCCTGATGATGCGGAAGCAATAGACGACGAGGCTGCCAAGTGCGATCAGCCTCATCATCATCAATTAGGGTCTCCGCCTCACTACTAGCCCCCTCGACTGCGTGTGGGTCAGGAGACAGACCTGTCTCTAGACCGGCTACCGAGCCACTCTCCTCGCCAGTACTTCTTCGTCTGGCTGCTGAAGAGGCAGATGTCTCCCCCCGTTCCTGACCGCCCTCTGTTAGCTCTTCCTCACTGTACAGTGGGGCTGAGCCCACAGCATGCGATACTTCGCTTGGTGAGGGAACACCAAAGGACAGGGGCAGGTAGAGGACACGTGATTTCAGTGGGCTTGCTCCCGGGCCATGCCAACTAACGGTTGTGTCTGACGTACCCACCGACCGTTGGCTGTAGGTGTCAGAGGTGACCTGGGAAGAGGAAGACGACCGAGCCAACCAATCGATGACGGCAGGGTTGTCGGTGGAGACACGACCGCTGGATGACACCGGGAGCACTGGCCTCTGGCTGCGACTAGTGCTGCCTTGACCCCTTCCTCTGCTGCCACGTCTGCTCGCTCCTAAAACATTGCCTCCTCTGCCACTCCTCTGCATGTTGTCTGACATACTCTTTAATTCAACGATTCTGTGTCCCTGAGTAACAATTCTGTGTCCCTCAGTAGCAATTCTGTGTCTGTCCCTGAGTAACAATTCTGTGTCCCTGAGTAACAATTCTGTGTCCCTGAGTAACAATTCTGTGTCCCTCAGTAACAATTCTGTGTCCCTCAGTAACAATTCTGTGTCCCTGAGTAACAATTCTGTGTCCCTCAGTAACAATTCTGTGTCCCTCAGTAACAATTCTGTGTCTGTCCCTGAGTAACAATTCTGTGTCCCTCAGTAACAATTCTGTGTCTGTCCCTGAGTAACAATTCTGTGTCCCTGAGTAACAATTCTGTGTCCCTGAGTAACAATTCTGTGTCCCTCAGTAACAATTCTGTGTCCCTCAGTAACAATTCTGTGTCTGTCCCTGAGTAACAATTCTGTGTCCCTCAGTAACAATTCTGTGTCTGTCCCTGAGTAACAATTCTGTGTCCCGAGTAACAATTCTGTGTCCCTCAGTAACAATTCTGTGTCCCTCAGTAAACAATTCTGTGTCTGTCCCTGAGTAACAATTCTGTGTCCCTCAGTAACAATTCTGTGTCCCTCAGTAACAATTCTGTGTCCCTGAGTAACAATTCTGTGTCCCTGAGTAACAATTCTGTGTCCCTCAGTAACAATTCTGTGTCCCTCAGTAACAATTCTGTGTCCCTCAGTAACAATTCTGTGTCTGTCCCTGAGTAACAATTCTGTGTCCCTCAGTAACAATTCTGTGTCCCTCAGTAACAATTCTGTGTCTGTCCCTGAGTAACAAGTCTGTGTCCCTGAGTAACAATTCTGTGTCCCTCAGTAACAATTCTGTGTCCCTCAGTAACAATTCTGTGTCCCTCAGTAACAATTCTGTGTCTGTCCCTGAGTAACAATTCTGTGTCCCTCAGTAACAATTCTGTGTCCCTCAGTAACAATTCTGTGTCTGTCCCTGAGTAACAATTCTGTGTCCCTGAGTAACAATTCTGTGTCCCTGAGTAACAATTCTGTGTCCCTCAGTAACAATTCTGTGTCCCTCAGTAACAATTCTGTGTCTGTCCCTGAGTAACAATTCTGTGTCCCTCAGTAACAATTCTGTGTCCCTCAGTAACA